CTTATTGGTAATAAGACTAATTTCTTCTTATTCTTTTAAATATTACAGTGTTTCTTTTTCCTAAAATGTTATACTTAATTTTCGCTTAAAATTAAAAAATCACAAATGGAGGAAAATATACGTTATTGAATAAAGTTTATACAAATCACTTTACCATAAAAAAAAAGTAAAAACATGTCATGGCGGAAGATATTCAGGTGGCATTTCACACATTTATCTATTAAAATCGAGATTAAAATAATAAACTTGCGTAACATGTTATACACGAGATAGAAAGTTTCAGAATCGATTAATACGCAATACGCTACGCAGTCACTTATTCCTATGCGCGGATGAGCGTCTTCAAGACTCTTCCTTCGGCCAGGGTCACGACGCCGCCGAAGAGGAATCGGCCTACGTTTGGCTAAGCAGGCTGGACACGGTGGAGTACGATATTGGCGACTCTGAATATTTATAAAAATTTGCAAAGTAAAATATGTTGGAAAAATAATTAATCCATACATATATAAAAGCTCAAAGGGTTTTTTTGTTGCATCCATCCCGCCGAAAGCGCTTTACCAATCTTGATGATTCTTTTTTTAAATGAAAGGTATATATGTGTAGATTTGTTATGAAGTATTTTTATAGTGCTTAATGGCTATTTCTTTGTGTAAAACGACTAAATACTAAAACATACCTGAAAACACCTACACACAATACCTCCAGAAATAAATTAGTTGTCATTGTCAGTGGTGTGTCAGTTAGATTATATATTACGTTTTTAGATATTTTAGAGTGAGTTGATGCCGCCAGCTTTAGATACATAAATATTAGCACAAAGGTTCGTTTAAACGACATTAGTGAATTAGCTACACAAAGCGATTTTAGGAAATTCATCCTCTTAGAGAGTAAAATTATCTCGGAACAGTTTGTTGTATGAAAATTCCTTACTATTTCGTCTAGAAGAATGAAATCCTACAAAAAGAATTAGAAGAAATTTTTGAAATTCATCAACCAAATGGGTAAAGTTAGTAAAAATTTATATAAAACTTGGTGACGTCTGGATTATACACATAAAAATTGGCACAAAGGTAAAGCGAATTTATGAAATTTATACCCTTAGGGAGTAAAATAGGGAATGAAAGTTTGCTGTACGAAAATGCAATACTATAACATTATAAACCAGACAGTATAAAATTTTATACAAGGGTTTATTTAGTGACATCATAACGAAATATATCTTCCTCAATTATCCTTCAAAGAATAAAAAATAACCTATAAAGAGAGTATTAGTGCTCTTAATAAATAAAAAAAAGATGAAAAATAAAAAACATCTATATGTTCACTAGCTCTCTATAAAGAAGTAAAAAATCATTTAAATCAATGCATAAACGATTCGAGGTGTAACGCGAACGTAGTTGCGAGAAAAAGCTAGTAATTTATTAAATTATTTTATTTAACTCATTAATTTTCATTGAAAAGGAATTTTTGTAATTCGCCACTATATTAGTTAAAAACTAAGAAACTCATATCAAATTTAAGTTTTGCGATTTTGACTTATACTTTTTATAAAATCTGAACACATTTTAAAAGAAAAAAAGTTTTTGATAATATTTGTGTAGATTGACTACAAGTTGTATAACATAAATTTCTACGACCGGTCTACCTAGTAGTCTGCAGCATCGCCTTTGGTGCAAACGTTGGCCTGTTAATCTGTGACGTGACGCACAACAGCCAAGAAAAACAGAAGCGTGGCTAAGAATTTAGTAATTTAAAAAAAGTCTTTAAGATACAGTAGTAGGTATTAAAAAGTTTTGTGTTTAAATGGGGTTTGCCTTTAACAGTTAAAAAAATTATATCGTAGAGTGTAACTTTCCGTAAGAATTTTTTTTTTGCTTGCTTGTTTTACGGATAGGTGCGATCGCATAATTATTATTGATAATGTTTTATTTAATTTTAACATTACTACTTTTTCAGTGAATCTTTAAATCTGTTGTTTTTTGTTAAGTTCGTTATTTAAACATATGTATGTAATACACTCATATTAACACTAATCATATTTTTACGTTTTTATTCATCATTTTCAATGCCCCCCCCGGTTGCATCTTTGTAAAGGACTGTGAATTTTTAACCCTAAATAGTTGATTGTTGATGTTTCTCGTAAAATATGTTTTTTTGTAGTTTTATTTGTAAGTTTACTTTTTGTTTTTTGGTTTTAAATATAATATATTCTGTTTTTAGCTAGTTTATGGTTAAGAGATTGTTGTAGCACCATGTTTGCACTTTTTGCAGGTCTTTTTTGATGTTTGTTTCAAGGATGTTCTGATCTGTTCCTGTCTAAACATGTATCGTCGGCATATCCATATATGACGCCATTTAATGCTAGTTCACAGAGATCGTTTGTATAAAGGATATACAGGAGAGGTGGTAGATTTCCTCCTTGCGGTATCCCATATGGCGCCATGTTAGTTTTACTTTCAATATTTTCCACGCAAATTTTTTGTGGTCGATTTTTTAAATAGCTTTCAGTTAGTTCTAGTATATGTTGATTCAGTTTGTATTTTTGTAATTTTTCATTTAATTTGTCTTTAGATGTGGTGTCAAAGGCTTTCTTTAAATCAATAAATACTACTACAGTAATTTTCCTCTTATTGAGATTATTTTTAATATTCTCAATTATATCTAGAACAGCGGATGTAGTGAGCATAGTGGATGTAGTTAATACGACCCTGTCTAAAGTTTAATTTGAGTCAAAATGTAATATTTTTTAAGAAAAATTAATCTCTAAATTAGTCTTAAATCCTTAAAAAATGGAACCACCCGTTATAATAATACCTAAAACGTTAATCAAAATCTAGGTTAGCTTGTTGATCGTATTAATTTTAGCTCTAGAACAGGAAATGTTGACAGTCGTCCAATTGTCTCGCTTAAAACAACAAATCCCACCCTAATACGGGTGCTAGGACAAAAAGGGCCCTAAAGTAAATTATAGCCAACGATGAATACCTAGATTTGATAAGGGGAAATCCTAAACAAATCTTATTTAAGAAATCACCTCAATTCATACCGCAAACAATCCCATATATCCAAGGATTATCTACACCAAATAATATAAAAAAAAACTTTAAAGTGAACATATTATACAGGGTGTCTCAGAAATAAATGCAAGTATTTTAACTGGTAGTATATTTCGACCCTAGAAACACGCCTACGAGGTATTTTTGCGAAAAAAAATTGTTGAAAATTTAAAATTTTTCTTGACATTTTCCGGAAAATTTTAAAACACTTTTTAATGCTACTTGTTTATTCACCTGAGATTTCTCTACGGTGTATCTAAATCTTGTAGTGTTACTAATAATTCTAGAAAAAAAACATTAATTATTTATAGCACTTACCCTTTTAATAAAAAAAAATACGGAATATTAACTTAAATATTACCTTTTTGATGTTTACGAAAATCTTTGTTATGCTGCAAAATAACTTTATTTTGGATTAAATTTAATAAAATGATTCATAATACATGTTTCACTCAACAACTTTAAATACGTATTTTGTTTTTTCGTTATTTTTTCGATGTAATTCGACAATGTCATCGACAGCTAACCGTTAGCCAAAAGTGCCGCGTGTCAACTCGTTCTTGGTTCTTTGTTCTTTGAGACGCCGAGCCGCGCCGCCGCGCCGTGTCGAGCTTGCCTCATGCAACGATATTAAGGGAGGTTGCCGTAGTTTCAACAATTTCAAATTCAAGGCGTTCGAACCAATCAAATTCGTGTTAAATTTTAATAATAAAACAGAGAAACATGAAAGGAAACAAACAAAACAAAAATGGGTAATTGCCCAAAAATGAATTGATTATTGATAAGGTCACAAAAAAAAGTCTAAAATGTTTGTCGAAATTCATAAATCAATATATCGAAAACAGCCCAACGAATAATCAATTCATTTTTGTTTTGTTTGTTTCCTTTCATGTTTCTCTGTTTTATTTTTAAAATTTACTACGAATTTGATTGCTTCGAATGTCTTGAATTTGGAATTGTTGTAACTACGGCAACGTTGCTTAATATCGTCGCATGACGCAAGCCCGCCACGGCTGCGCGGTGCCTCAAAGAACCAGTTGACATGTGGTACTCTTGGCGGACGGTTGGGCTGTTGATGGCATTGTCGAAATACATCGAAAAAATAGGGAAAAAACAAAATAGGTATTTAAAACTGTTGAGTGAAACATGTATTTTCTTAGATTGAAATTAGTTCGTAAAGTGGCGATAAGGGACAATAATTCTCAACATTTATTCATTCAGAAAGATCCTCAAAGTAATGTGTTTTCAAGGTGTTTTGTAAATCAGTGGTTCAAATTGTAATTAAATCTATATGAAAAGAATGTGTTAGAAATGGGGACTGTTATTTTAGCAGTTGTTGCATGTACAAGTAAAGCAGCACAATGAAGTATATTTTAGTTTAATGTAATATATAGTTAATTTTTTAAGTGTGTATCAAAAAAGAGAACTGTCACAGTTACATCGATCACTCATATGTATCTTTTTTTAATGTTGCATAAGTTTTTTATTTATTTTCTGTAATAATATAACATTCTTAAAAATTTAATGCATCTATGCAATCTCTGCTGTACGGTGGTGTCATTTTATGACTTTTTTAGGCATACACTTTCTTCTCCATATGGCAACACAGGGCGTCGAATTACCTGAGTAGGCTGGATTTGCGTAATTGGAGGTAGTTAGCAATATCTACCGGCGGTTCTCAAAATATTGTTATTATTTTTTTAAATTTTCAAAGCTAAATAACTCGGTTATTTTCAATTTATTTTAAAAATGGTAAAGAGAAAATATGTTTCTTGTGACCAGATCTACCACCCCTTAAAATATTTGCACTTATTTCTGGGACACCCTGTATATAATGCAAAACATACTTTGATCAAGATTTTCTATTATAAAACCCATAACTTTTTCTTCTGTAACTAAAGTTAAATTTTTACTGTTTTGAAATAACTATCTTTAAAATTTCAGGTACTGTGCAGATGGGTTCTAAGTGTTAAGAAAAACTACAGGCCAGTGAAGTATCACAACTGGAGACATGCTTTAAATGTGGCTCAGACTATGTTCGCCATGTTCAAAACTGGAAAGATGGAGAGGTAAGCTAGAGTTTTCAAAGTGTTATTCGCCAAGCTTGCATGATGAATTTCAATTGAGAAGCAGACTTACTAAATGCATTTTGTCCATGTTTTTTAGATTTTCAACCAAAGGTGGCATTGCAAACTACATACACATAGCAAAATAAAAACACTATATCACCACAATACACCAAAACACTTCACTTTTACACTGGACGCGCGTTTCGCTAACCATGTTAGCATCATCAGCATACACATAGTTACAATATTATGGCAAAGACGGGAGACAGAGTCATTGGCGGTAGACAAACAAACAGAAGTATGTCCTTGTGCTGTGGACATTCTGCTGTTTCTTTGTCACTGCCAGATGAAGAATGTTTTTTTTTGTACTCCAACTTCCCTATTTATTGAATAATACTACTGAAAATAATGAATGGAACTACGACTGGGGACTATGCAGTTGGAAATACGAACCGTGGTGGCAGAAAACAAAGAAAAATTTCACGTCTAAAGGACAGTCAACAGTTTTTTTCATTGTTTTCAGATATCATAAAAACTAGATTTTTCACATGTAGGTGTTACTATTTTTATGATTTTTATCCATGTATTAAGTACACTAGTTTTTCGGTAAGTGTCTTCCAAAGAGCGTAGCAGTTTTTCTTTGTTTGCCAGAAAGTCTGCTCCTCAGGTAGTTAATATTAGTACAATTTAATTGGTCGTTTAAATCTATATAAAAATATCAAGAAAAATAAATAACCTGAATATAAACGTTTGACAAATAATTTGAATTTTAACACGTCAAAAGAATTAATAGCTACCGATAAGTTATTCCTAAACCGCATTTGCCAGTTAATCGTTGGCAATTTGTCTTTTCCTGCGTTTCTAGCAAGAAGCAGACAAATTGTCCACCTGATTGGGATTATTAGCACCTAAACTTGTATTATGACATACTTATAGTGTATTGTGGCTTAGTTATTATAATCTGAATACACACCTTATTATAGCTTTGACGTAAATAATACAATAATTAATATTATTTCTTTAGCTGTGCATTTTTTCTAATTTCGAAAAAAGAAAATTGTTTTGTTTATCGTAAAGGGGGAAATCAAATTCCACTCCCACAACTGGTTTCTGGGCCTACCCATCATCAGGTGCGCTGTCCAGGGGCTGGTTCACACCGAAACGACAAACAAAACTTTTTCAATATCAATGAACGATGTCGTAAAGTATCGGTGGGATATTAGCAGATCACCCATCAAAAGATGGATGGTATCTTGAAAACGAAAAGCGATAGACTAATGAAATTTTATGGAAGCATTACTATTATGAAAACACACTTTTTGGTAATTTTTTCACTTTTTTAAAATGAGTGGAAGGGGTTGTTGAATAAACTACCCCTATCATTCTTGTTAACGAAATTTAAAGAAAAATCTTATCAAACACATGCAAAAAAAATAATTTGGATAGCTTAGTTTGTTTAGAAACTTTTTTATCTCTTGTGTTTTTTTGATAAAACTCGCCGATTTGCAATTAAAAAATAAAATGTAAAGCATTACATGTCAGGAAAAAAAACTTTTTAGATGAAGAACCTAGGGGGCTGCTGTAATTTTTATAGGAAAAAATCTAGTCGGCCGCTGTCAGGTTTTAGGAGGTTTCTAATATTATTTTATTTGACATTACTCTACTGCAATACGTTATTATCTTACGATCAGTTAATTATTCCGAAGCCTTTTTATGATCTATTTAATTGCGTAAAAAAGAAGTTTTAATTAATGATATGCATTTTATGTATGGGCGTGCAAATGGAAATTCCTTGGAAGCTTGTGGTTTTTATACAGAAATGTATCCGAATCGTAGACCTCCCCACTACAGCACGTTCACTAGGCTTCATCAAAGGCTGCATGAATCTGGAACTTTCGAAAAAAGAAGTTTGGATACCGGCCGACACCGCCAAATTCAAACACCCGAATTAGAAGTTGCTGTCTTAAATATTATTGAAGCGCAACCTGAGACAAGTACCTGGAAAATTGCAGCGGAATTAAATACTTGTACATCAACTGTATGGAAGATATTAAAAGAACAGCAGTTATATCCTTACCATATACAGAGAGTTCAAGCTCTTTTACCAAGAGATTTCGAGCCGAGAATGACAATTTGCCAATGGTTTCATCAAATGAATATGGAAAACCCTTTTTTTGTTCAAAAATTCTTTTTTCGGACGAAGCTAGTTTCTCAAGAGATGCAATTGAAAACTTCCATAATAGGCATGTATGGGCTGAAGAAAATCCTCATTCAGTTATAGAATCTAGACATCAATAGCAGTTTTCCGTTAACGTTTGTATAGGAATTGTCGATGAACATTTAATTGGGCCCCATTTTCTACCTTTAAGATTAACTGGTGAGTCGTATTTTTATTTCCTACAAGAAGAATTGCCTCTTCTACTAGAACATTTACCCCTGCAGATTAGACGAAATGCATGATGGTGCTCCAGCACATTTCAGCATAGATGTACGAAGGTATTTAAATCTTAATTATGAAAACCGCTGAATAGGAAGAGGTGGGCCTCATTTTTGGCCGCCTCGATCCCCAGATTTGAATCCTTCGGATTTTTGTATTTGGGGATATTTAAAAGAATTAGTTTACGCTACACCAGTACAGGATATCGAAGACCTACGAAATCGCATAATTACATCATGTGATATAATAAGAAATAATCCTGGTATATTTCAGCGTATTAGGGGCTCAATGTTGCGTAGGATAAATGCATGTATTACATCACAAGGTGGACATTTTCAACACTTGTTGTAAAAAATGTAATTGCTCCTGCAAAAGACGTTGTGTTTTTATTTGAGTTGCAATGTTTAAACATTATTTTTTTAACGATATTATTTTGTACTTTCATGAATTAAAATACAGAATTAAAAATTGTCTTGGTAAACAATTTTTAAGAGGTTATCGTTCAGAAGAAAATGTAACGATATTATTACGAAATAGAACTGTTTGACAGCAGCCCACTAGATTCTTTATCTAAAAATGTTTTTTGTCCTGACATGTAATGCTTTACATTTTATTTTTTAATTTCAAATCGGTGAGTTTTATCAAAAAAATACAAGAGATAAAAAAATTTCTAAACAAACGAAACTATTCAAATTAATTTTTTGCATGTGTTTGATAAGATTTTTCTTTAAATTTCGTTAACAAGAATGATAGGAGTAGTTTATTTCAACACCTTCCACTCATTTTATAAAAGTGAAAAAATTACCTAAAAGTGTGTTTTCATAATAGTAATGCTTCCATAAAATTTCATTAGTCTATCGCTTTTCGTTTTCAAGATCAAAAATAAAAACATTATTTTTCCGCCATCTTTGTACCGCGATATCTCCCTAATGGTCGACTTTTGACCCAACGTTTATAAAGCAAACTACCCTTTATTTTGAACAAGGAATGACCCCCTGAAGTTTTTCGCGTTTGTTTTGAAACACCCTGTATATGAAAATGAACAAAATCCTTACATTAGTAAATAATATTTTCTAATCTGTATTTTTTCTAAATTCGAAAAATCTAAAAAAGAAAACAAAACTTTTTCAATATTGTAATATTGTATGGTGTTTCAAACTATCACCAAAATATTAATATTTTGTTTTCCATCGTATAATTGATACACAGAAACTTTAATTTTTAATTTAGAAAGAAATACTGAAAGGTCAAATAGTTTAGCTACAAATTGCTAATCGGCCTATTAAAACAAAATATATTAAATATTTTGTTCTAATAGGCAGATTTTCGTGCCGGTGAGTGTATATACGACTGTGAGTGTTAAAAAATGTGCCATCTCTGGGGAGATTCCTCACGTAAGAATAAAATTTATTTTTCATATCAACATAGGTCCGATTCTGCTTTCTTTCATAGCTACAGGGTGTTAAAGTCTTAATAATCGTCCGATTTATTATTATTTTCTTCCAAGTATTTTAGTGACTCGAATGAAATTTTGAGTTGTAGTTGTATCCTAATTAAAATATAAACTCGAGTATATACTACCCTATTGGAAAGTAACCTTTCAGGGCTGGAATTTTACACTATCGCCATTCGCTTTGGCATTAAAATGTGTGTAAGAGTACCAAATTTCAAGAAAAACGGTTTACTAATGCTCTTAAAAATAAATGGAATATATTATTTTTATTTAACCTTTCGAGGCTTGTAACTTCTTCGGGAAGTATTTTAGGGCATATGTTTTGTTTTATTTTTATCTGTAGAATTATCCACCAAAGTTAGATATATTATTTTTTGACTGTGTAAATTTTTAACCTATCTACAACCTTTAAGAATATTGCTGTTACTGTAAATGTTCGAAATGCGGTAAAACCTAGGATTTATCAAAAGCAAGTGATAGTAAAAACCAACCCACCGCACCAAATAACCACCTAACCAATGCATTAACACCCCTCAAATAACCAGGTTAACCAATGCATTAACACCCTCCAAATAACCAGGCTAACCTAATTAGTTAATGTTTTTGGTAAATCCTAGGTTTAGCGCGCTTATCCTAGGTTTTACCGCATTTCGGACATTTACAGTAACATTGCTAAGTAACTAAAGAAAGATGGCCGTTTTATAAATACAACAACTACGTTTACATCCCCCGTAAAAATGGCTCTCAATTTTTACACCTACCTCCCTATTGTCGAGAAGTAAAATATAAAATTAATTACTATTTTCCTTTGATCTAACCTGACAGGAAATAATTGCATTTTTATCGTTGGACATACTATATTTCAAAAAAATAAAATTCAGTATAATATAAAAAATGCGTCAATAATGTCATTTTTGTTCTAGATTTATGAATGATCTAGAGATGCTCGGCTTATTGGTGGCATGTTTATGCCACGACTTGGACCATAGAGGAACGAACAACGCCTTTCAAACGAAAACGGAATCCCCATTAGCAATTTTGTATTCGACAAGTACGATGGAACATCATCACTTCGACCAATGCGTGATGATACTCAATACGGACAGCAATAATATATTTCAAGTAGGTGGGTTTGTTGTACTACACCGTAATGAGCATTTAAAATTCCATATGAAGAAAACGGTTGGTTTGAGGTACATTGTGTGTATTTCGATTTTTGCTTAGAATTGAAGGAAGAACCGAAATATGCAATAATATACAGGAGCTTCCATTTAAAAAAAATAAACTTTGATGTGCCACGACTTTATGACTGACCCTGTATACTTAAATTTAGTGTCCGCTAATAGATATTTGAAACCCCTATAACTTTCATATTTACCTTTTTGCGATACCTCTTATATTTTACATATTAATTGACCGTTCCCATACATATTAGCGACCCTGTATAATGTACCGGGTGGCCAACTAAAAATGGACGCCGACTGTATCTCAGAAACTACTTAACTTACGTATGACTTTGGGAAAAAAATTCTATTGAGTAAATCGACCAAGAGAAATCGCTGGAAATTATTATCAAGTTCGAAAAATGTCCGCTAGGAGGCGTTTCTCTGATAGCCAATCGGAAAACAGATTTTTTCTCAAAAATATGCGAGAAATTTGTAATTTTTTTGATATAGAGTATTTTGCTCTATCTCATAACATAAAGTGGTTGGGGAAGATTAAACTTGCTTTTATTAAAATAAGGATAACTGTGGATTGAGTTAGCCGATTTAAACAAATTAGGACTCGTTTAAAAGAGCTTTTCTTCCTTAATGATACCCAGTATAACTTTTTTTTCCATAATTTTTTTCGTGGCAGCTAGAGGGCTCTGTTTGACATCATAACAGATACTGCGCTTTTGCATAAAAAATTAAATAGAAGGCTATATTTCTCTTTGCACAGTTAAATAGAGCACAAAATTTCCTAAATACTAGCGCCAAACCGCAACTTTCTATCTTCTCTCTAACGGGAGATATTAAGAAAATAAATAATATTAGGCCTATTAATACCATTTAATTGTTATTTATCCATGCGCGTTCTTGATTCGACCCCATAAATTAAAACCCAGGTATATTGACTCCTATGCTCTAGCTGGGCATGAAATATGCCGCTCAAGCATCTCTAACTACTAAAGTAAGTGGTATCCAAGAAGTCCCACAAATTCATAGCAAAATAAGCGGCACCACTGCATCAACTACACCAACTGCATTCATGCCGATGAAATTGCAACAAATGCAATTAAAAAAGTATAATCATTCGCCATTCTAGAATTCCTGCCTAAATATTTACCGACCAACTTGGTGCTTGGTGCCAACCGGTCTTGGTGCTTGGTGCCAGTAGTGCATATTGTTAAGATTAGCACCTTTATGAAAAGTGACCCAAACGACTTAAACTTTATAATATAATAATAAATAACACAAACAACAGATAAAACCCAAAAACAAGTGAAATCAAAGACGAACTTGGATTAATAACTAAATGACGTTACATGAAATAAACCCCTAGTTTTCGGCCAGACGAAATTCGGCCGTTTTCAGGCAATATGGCGGCCCAAAATTCCTAGTAATTTTAATAAAATTATTGACTGTCCGACTTTCGGACATTTTAATCTGAGAACTACCTACGTATAATTAACCAAGAAATTCATAAAAATTATATGGATGGACGATGATGTAATTTTTTAAGTCATTTTTGAAGAAACGTCATGATGGAGATGACGTCATTTTTTTAAGAAAACGCCCGAAATTCGGATGCATGAAAACTGAACTTAAACGTTTCGATATTTTAACCTAACCGATTTACCTCTTTTTATTTCCTAGCCTACAACTATAATTTTTAGACCATATAATTCTAAGCGGCATGCGGCAGCCTAACATGATTTGTTCTCTTAATATCTCCGGTTAGAGAGAAGATAGATAGTTACGGTTTGCGCTAATATTTTGGAAATTTTGTGCTCTATTTAACTGCGCAAAGAGAAATATAGCCTCCTGTTTAATTTTTTATGCAAAAGCGCAATATCTGTTATGATGTCAAACAGCGCCCTCTAGCTACCAAGAAAAAAATTATGGAAACACAAGTTATACTGGAGATCATTAAGGAAGAAAAGCTCTTTTAAACGTGGCCTAGTTTGTTTAAATCGGCTAACCGAAACCAGAGTTTTCCTTATTTTAATAAAATCAAGTATAACCTTCCCCCACCACTTTATTTTATGAGATAGAGCAAAATACTCTATATCAAAAAAATTACAAATTTCTCGATGATTACAATAGGAATATTTAAAACACCTGTTCACCTGCATATTTTTGAGAAAAATCCTGTTTTCTGATTGGCTATCAGAGAAACGCCAGCTAGCGGACATTTTTCGAACTTGAAAATAATTTCCAGCAATTTCTCTTGGTCGATTTACTTATTATTTTTTTTTCCCAAAGTTATACGATAAGTAGTTTCTGAGGTACAGCCGGCCTCCATTCTCAGTTAGGCCACCCGGTACGATTAAAGAAAAAAAAATATACATAGACTGGTGAAAGAATATAAGCCCCACCACATAAATGGTCGGAAGTTTGACAAGGAACCTCGAATTAGAAATAGTGTAGATTAGAACCTGTCGCCTCGCGGTTGAGAATAGTTCACACTTGATAATAGTTACTGAAACATTTGACCGAAACGCTGTGTAAAATGTCAAAATCAAAGACAAGTTCAAAGACAAAATCAAGTCCAGGAAAATATTTTATTTTAAATAATTATATTAATACTGAAATTTCGTACAAAGAAATATCTACAAATTCGTGCAGTTTTATGTTCAAATTCTATAAACAGATACAAAAAGATTTTGAAAACTGTAATTCTCAAAATCAAACTGAATAAAATGCCACAGAAAGTTTTTTTTGAAGTTGCTTCGACCATTCGACCGTGGAGTGTATTAAAAGTTGGATCAGATGAAAAATTTGTTCGCAAAGTCGTGAAAATTTTACCTTTACTCCTTGCGATAAATCGACACGCCTTGACTACAAACTACTTAAAAAATGTATTAAACTATTTGAAACATACCGACGTATTGAAAATATACCAGGATTTGTAAAACGACCGAGTATTTCTACATTTAAATACCGGGTGCGTCTCAAAAGTGACTCACCCATATAACTTTTTTGGTTTTTTTCGGTTAAAAAAAATGAGATTTGGTATGTTAATATATGATATAAGTTAGGATTGATTGACATATTCAATTGTTTTCGGTCACTTTCTGTTTCGCCGGAAATGACAACAACTTTTTTTTTAAATGGCACCTTCAGTATTTTTTTTACTTTATTCGATAAAACGTAACACTCTGAATAGAATGAGATATCATATGTCAACTTTTTACATTTTCGCATATATGGTTTATTTGAAATTAAAATTTGCGGTGCGTAACGAAAATTTGACTCTGCATGTGTGTGGTATCAAATTATTCTAAAAAAAAGCTTTATCCAAATGTGCTAATGAGCCACCCTCGTTCCATTTGAAAAAACTGAGGTATTATTAAAAATACGATTTGAGAATGTTCTAACTGGCCAGGACCAGGCACTAAAAACATTGGACGATCCAATCCATTTTTCCAAGGCTCCTTGATTAAGTATTGGTGTTTTTAACATAGCCATGGCACTCTAGATTGAATTTTAAAATACGATTTTTTATTAACCGAAAATGTCAAAAGTTAACATATGATATGTCATTCTTTTCAGAATGTAATTTTCTACCGAATAAAGTAAAAAAATACCGGGGGTGCCATTTAAAAATCAAAAGTTGTAGTTATTTCCAATGAAACAGGAAGTGACCGAAAGCAATTGAATAGGTCAATCAGTCCTAATTTATGTCAAATACTAACATACCAAATCTCGTTTTTTTATCAGAAGAAATAAAAAAGTTACAGGGGTGAGCCACTTTTGAGACGCACCCAGTATAACCTAAAAAAAAGTGTGTGTGCTCTATGTGCGCATATTTGAAGTGAAACTTGTTTAACAAAACTTTAACAGCTATTAAATTGATTGATTTGAAGGACATCTTTGAAAGAATGTAGTTTGAAATGTTGAAAAAGTAATAAATTAAAAAAATATATTTATTTACGCCTAAAAACTGATTTTTCCCTGTAACAAATAGTTTTTACGTTTAACAAATAGTTTTTTTATACGTAAAATAGATTTTGCGGGTATCAAATAGTTGTTTACGCGTAAAAAATAGTTTTTACGCGTAACATATAATTTTTATACGCGTAAAATAAAACACGTCGCGTTACTACGTATTTCTAAGCCGTAAGCTGTGTTTTTTGTGGGGTTAGACATTAGGTTAAAATTAATTTAATACAATACCATTATACTGCATTTAAATTAAACTCATAATAAATTTTTCACCAAAACAAACTCCTTTAAGTTCAGCCATTGTCAATTATCTTATTATTCCTTATAAAAAAGTTAAATCCCCAGAAAAAAAAGCAATTCATTCAAGATACATATATGCTGTCAAAAATACGAAATCATAATATAAACATCACAAAGCTGTTTTTTTTTCTCTCATGAAAAATTGTTCTTTGTATATGGTTATCTTCTTATTCCGGTATATGCCTCGACGCGCAATTCACCTCCTAAAAAAATGTATGATATCGACCTGAGTAGCAAGTGGAAAGGAAGGCCAACGAACCTCTGGAAAAGAAACGAGATATATCCTTTATATGTCCAGTCATCTAGAAACGTGATTTATTTAAGATTTCTTGACTTCTTGTTTAAAATATGTGCTGATAATAAAGGGACACAGCTCCTAGAAGAAAAAACTTGGGAATGTTGTTTAAGTGCAAACCTAAATATGTACTAGGATGAATTTTAGGAAAATGGTTTAACTTCTACGGGATGGCTAAAAAAAGTGTTAGCGGATCGGGATGATTTTTTTTAAATGGTACGTCTATTTTTTAATTGGTTTATTTTGCATTTTTGACTTCTTTTCGGATCACTTTACATTTTTACATAATCCTAAGATATGAGTAGAAACCTGTGTGCAACTGCTGGTAGATCAGCAATACACCGGGAAAACAATAAGCATATTTTCGGATAGTCAAACCGC